TCCGGATGACCTAGAGACTTTAAACTTCACAGTTGGCTCAGAACTAGATGACAATGCAATACGAAAGATGAATTAATCCGATAGGTGGCGCAGGAGTCGAGATATTTGAAAACCCTGTATTTGTAATCCGATTTGGTTCGTATTAAAAACGTATATTAATTACATGAAAAGGAATAAAAACTTTTGCCGATAGGTTGCGCAGGAGTCAAGACAACAGCGACAACTTCACGGTCTACTTTGTTGATACCTGCTAGGTAGACTTCACGAGGCTGGTGTCTTCTAGGTGGAGCGAGATGTAGTTATTCGAGAGTCTTGACCTTAGGTCTGACGAAAGTGATTGACCTGTAAAAGTCATCTAAGTAGCACAGTTTTTTTCTCTGGCTTGAGAATATATATCCTTTTTTCCTTTCACCTTACCAATGACAAGTTTAGAATTGTTGCGATTGATAAGCAATTAACTTGACTATGACAGCTACTGAATTCCTTGCATTTTTAACAATATTCAGCCTCATTGCGTAAGTCGTAAATTAGGCTAAATTGTACGACTCGACAACATTGGCATTGCCTACTGTCGTGCTGAAATAAGTAAACGACGAAAATCGTAAAAAACTATACAGTGCCGCCAAGTTTTTCCGTTTTAATGACGTGAAATTTTCGATACGATTCGACTGTAGAAAAACGACTTGCATTCGACACGACTCTCGCAATGAGGCCGATTGTTGCTATTTTCGAGCTGTTTAAATAGATTTGTTTAGATCGGCTTGTCAAGTGGTAAAACGTTCGATGTGTCAGCTCAAACGGAGGGCAATGGTATATAACTATGCTTTCCCATCCTGTTTATAGATCTGCGACAGTCTGCTAAAAAGTTGCATATGACAAAATCAAGCTAATTAAAGGCACCCGACTTTCTCGCGTAAACGTAGGATGTTGTCTTGTGATTACTCCTGTTCGCAGATGTCCAATTGCTTTATGTAGTCTAGGGTATGTGCTGATGTGACGGTCCTAGACCGGGTCTCCCCCAGTCAATCTGCTAAGAGTAAAACCTGCATACCATGGTAAGATAACGTCAGTCTTATAGAGCTACACTGTCACAGCATGTTAGAAACAATTTAGTCATTCGGACACTAGCATCTACGAAGCCCGTTGAGCCGAGAGCTATAGTTGGACGGCAAGAACAATAGTTTCCGTTAGGCTATCGCAGTTACCACTGCGAGGCATAACCTTGTCTGTGGAGGCCTTTTAGACCCGGTTTCGCCGCATAAAAAAAAAACAAGAGTTACTTTGGCATAACTCAACTTGGTTATTGCAGTTGGCTTAACTCCTACAGTGTTAGGCGGAATCCTGAAATTGCTGATATTTGTCCAGTGTGTGGATATGGACAAGTTGGCATATCCCACCTTTCAGACAGTAGAAGCGCCTTAGATACAAGCAAAAGTGGCTACGCGCTTGCTGGCATTTAAGTTGGAGGAGTCATACGAGAGCAATCAATAAACCTGTAGGGCATATTATTGCACGCTTTGTTTTACATTCCAACCGGGTGTTTATTTTGCTTGTGTTTACTCCTAAGCCGTTCTCTTTGGTCCATTCTTCGTCAAATATAAGTTTGGCCTAAATGCTATTTCCTAAATGGTGATAGATTTTTGGATAGTGTAAGTTTGCATCCATACTTTTACATAAGATGTATGTATATTTATTAGTTCATGATACACTATTATTCATTAAACATTTTTCTCCATTCATTTCCAGCATGACGCCGATGGCGATGGCTACATTGGCATACACGAACTCAAAGGTCTTATCAATGCTGGTCTCTGCAGTGATATTCCTGATTATATTGCTGCGCAAATTTTACAAAAATCAGATGATGACAATGATGGTCGTTTGGATTTTGAAGAATTCTATCGGATGTCTCAAACGCATAAATGGATGATAAGAAATATATTGACCAAGTATTGTCGGTTGGTTGTGCCGCCGCCAAAAGCAATCGAAGGCGATCAATTGGGTAGGCTAATGATGAGCTACAAATATTAAATTATTTGGAATTACTTATTGTGTTTTTTCACTTCTATCATACAGATGGTGTCTACGAAAAGCAAATGTCCGTTTGCCCACCCCCACTAACTATGGTTATGTTCTCTATAATCGAAATTTTGTTCTTCTTGGTAGATGTTATACATTTTCAGTGAGTTTAATTGCAGCTGACAAGAGTAGACTTGAGTGCAAATTAATCTTTATATTCCTATTTTTTCAATCAGAGATGATCCCAACAACACTGCCAACATTGGTGAGAATACTAATGGTCCTGCCGCGACAATATTCATCTACAATCCCTACAAACGTTACGAGGCTTGGCGTTTTGTCACTTACATGTTCGTGCATGTCGGTTTAATGCATCTCTTCATGAATCTGGTTATACAAATATTCTTGGGTGTCGCTTTGGAGCTCGTCCATCACTGGTGGCGTGTGGCCTTAATTTATTTGGCTGGCGTACTGGCTGGTTCGATGGGCACCTCTTTAACAAGTCCAAGGATTTTCTTAGCTGGTGCTTCTGGTGGTGTTTATGCTTTGATTACGGCGCACATTGCCACCATCATTTTGGTAAGATAGCAGAAATTGAGCTACGGCGAGAATTGTATTATTTTTTTATATTGCTTTATTACTTGCCAAACACAGAACTACAAGGAAATGGAATACGCCATTGTGCAGTTATTTGTATTTCTCATATTTTGCTTTACGGATTTGGGTACTTCAGTTTATCGTCATTTGACAGATCAGCACGATCAAATCGGTTACATAGCACATTTGTCCGGTGCCGTGGCAGGCCTGCTAGTGGGTATAGGTGTGCTAAGAAATTTGGAGGTCCGCCGATGGGAAAAAATACTCTGGTGGATCGCTGTTATACTTTACTTTTCGCTAATGATGACTGGTGTGTTGATACATGTACTCATGCCGGCCTATTTTCCCCGCCAGGAATTCAATTAATTCAATTTTATATGCATCTATTGCGTATATTTATTACAACTAACCATCTTTTAGTGGATAAGCGAAATTTCATAGCATGTTTACTATCATGGTATTTAATTAGAATGCTGCTGTATCGAACATTCTATACTTAGACGCACATGAACAACTGAACAATAATCAGTTATACTACTCTATTTTTCTAGCTGTAAGTTTTCAATGTGTTGAGCACCAAAGTGCCTATAGAGGTTTGTGTATACACAAATTTCGACATAGAAAAGTGTATAATTTATTGCAACCGAACTTATTTGATACCTTAAAAATATTATACATAGTACAAGAAGGGTGCTTCGAGATGGACGGCAGCGTTTTTTGTCTCCAAAGTTGCTCGCTTATCATAATAGTTAAAACCTGTTTGAAACGTGTCGGTATCATTTATACATAAAACTCTCCAAAATCACAATTGCTAACTAATAATAGGATTGTTGCACTTGCTACTCGAAGAAAAGCTGCGAGAGTAAAGCAAAGAAACGCAAATTACGCTCCTTACATAAAAATTAGACAAACACTTTTCTTCACACAAAAATTTTTCCATTAAAGCTTGTATTAGTTTCTGTCATTTTGACAGCAGTGTTTTTCTCTCTACTGGTAAATTTATTGGTGGAACGCAGCTGTATGTGTAACTAGACTATGAATAGCTTGTGGACCACACCTAATATTTTAATATATTTATCATGACAGTTTAAAAACATATTATCCTTATTGGGAGCCCTTTTCTTTTAGTAGATAGTAAATGTAAGCAATTTAAATGAAGCCAAATTTGACATACAAACGCTATTTTGATAGCGCGTTTAAAGAAGCGTGAATTATTTAAATTATATTAGAAAAAAAGTAAGTTATTTTTCAGTGTATTTCTTTTTAATCGTTTTAGAGCTAAATCTAAAGCAGATATTAATTTATGTATTAGTTGATAAAAACGCATTTCAGAATTGACGCCTATTTTTAAGTACGTTCCATTTAAAACAAAAGTATTTACTAATTGAGGTATTTTTATATTCGTTATTGAAAAAAACTGCAAAGCAAAGAATGTCCATAGTTTTAAAATCATTTAAACGATATCTAAAGTTAGCTATTTAAGTTTTTAAAACATATCAGAAGTATTTTTTTTTTTTTTGAGGTGAAGTAATTTTTTTTCTTTCAATAAATCACAGTACATATATTTTTTGTTTATGTTTTAACTTCGCTGTGAAGTATTTTTAGTATTTTATACTCATGTTAATCTATAAACAGAAACTATAATGCTTTTGTAATAAACTTTGTATGAAATAAACTAATAAATAAACTAACTGTGAAACAAATTATTAAATTTATATTGAAAATACCCTCGAAAGCGGGTAGAAAACCAGTTGTTGCAACCGAGTCGCGACAGATGATAAGGAATGTTAAAAGCGTGCATTGGTGTGGGTGAGTTGTGAAGTGTTGCCTTTAAAATAGGTAAACCGGCTGATAAATACATATTCTCTATCATTAACTCAGCAATAAATATTGTGTATGGCGACTGATAGGCCGATGAGCAACCATATCGTCGATGTTTTTGCAAAACCGCCCCATCGCTCAATTGCAAAACCGTGTATCTTACGGCACTAAAATTTTACATGAGAGCGAAAAAAACGGTTTGTTCTTTGAAGGCATTGCCTGGATAGGCGGTATTTTCTCTAGCTATTATTTTACAAATCTGTTATTTTAATAACGATTTAACAATTTTTATGCATAAATCTCGATGCCTGGAGTTCAGGGTTACCGCATCTCATTTTTGCCACAACGGCGATTTAGGCGGTTTTGCAACTGGCGGTTTTGCAAAAACATCGACGATATACTAAAATTCGCAGTACGTAGGCTACTGGTTACTGACTGTCGGCTACTGAGTCTATTAGCAGAATTTTTTATTTCCCGCTTATGCAGATTTGATTTGTTTTCATAAATTGATATACACATTAGAGCAAATTTGCCAATTACTTCGAAATGTTCATGTCAAAAAAGTAAATTCGGATGTTGTCTGCGCTTTTCTGTATACTAAGACTAATCACTATTAATAATCAGACTCATTGCGTAAAGGCCTCGCCAGATAGAAATTGTTTTCTGCGTCACAATTTTGCTTTTGACTGACGTCCAAGTTAAATCTGTGATTTTGAATAGAAGACGCCACATTGGCCACGCACGCATTGCCGCAACTGATAAAATTCGCCCAACTCTCAACAATAAAAATGTATGGAACGAATTCAAACCAGGTGGTTTTTGACCAATCAAATTGAGCCGTTTTGTTTGCGGCAAAGGCGAGGCCTTAAGTCACAAATTAGGTTAAATTGTGCGACTCGACATCGTTGGCATTGCCGACTGCGTGCTGAAATAAGTAAACGACGAAAATCGTCGAAAACTATGCAGTGCTGCCAAGTTTTTCTCTTTTAACACACTAGTCGAGGGGAAATTTTAGGCCATGAGGCTGAATACAAATTAGGATACTGGTAGCCATAGCCACTAGACCAGCAACTAGACCCCCCAATTTTCTGGAAGTCCGCAGGTCCCCAAGATAAGTCATCGTTTAACACTCAACTAGAGAGTGTGGCATAGGAACATGGGTCTTCGTCCCCCCTTACTTAAATTGCTTATGCTCCTCTTACGGACCGATTAAGGGAAAACAATAACTTTCAGAGAACTGAGAAGATTCGTTCAGTGCGTATATAATTTTTTTTTATACTCGATATCATAACACATATCCCTACTACCTCAAGCAATTTAATTTTAAAGTACAAAATTTATTTTAACAAGCAAAAAAGTCTATGTTCCGGCAAAGTCGAACTTTTATACATACAGTGAACCAAATAAAAACTGGGACGCGACTTTTGAACAAGCTTTGGCTATTCTTCTTTAGTTTACTTAATTTATATTATTTTTTATGAAAATATAGCTGATTACTGAACAAACAGCATATAAACCCAAATTTCAGGCTTTGCGCAAAAATTAT